AGATCTCAGTTAGGTCTGGGTTAGGTCTGGGTTCTAATCCAGACCAAACCTAAGCCAGATCTAATCCAGACCTAACCCAGATCTAAACAAGACCTAACCCAGACCTAACCCAAACCTAAGCGAGATCTAATCCAGACCTAACCCAGATCTATCCCAGACCTAACCCAGACCTAACCCAAACCTAAGCCAGATCTAATCCAGACCTAACCCAGATCTAACCCAGATCTAACCCAGACCTAACCCAGACCTAACCCAAACCTAAGCGAGATCTAATCCAGACCTAACCCAGATCTAACCCAGATCTAACCCAGACCTAACCCAAACCTAAGCCAGATCTAAACCAGACCTAACCCAAACCTAAGCCAGATCTAATCCAGACCTAACCCAGATCTAACCCAGTCCTAACCCAGAAGATAAGTACCATTACTATAGTGATTCCCTATTTACAAGATGCTCTCAGAATTTTTATTTTATGACTTGCCTTTTAAATACATGTCATTTCTTTTGTCAACTGATTGCAAGTGTAACGTCCATTGAAATTAACGATTTATTCAAATTATTGTCGTTTCAATAGTCTTGCACCCCTGCACCTTGCACCCTCAAGCTAAATCGTTGCAAAACGCGTGAAGATCCAACGATTTATCCAACGAACGAACCAGAGTCCCAACAGTTATACTGGCCAAACGAATAGCAAGTGTGGGCATCATCTTCCATGCACGCGATACGATTTTCTTAGGGCAATAAAATAAAAATAACACATGGCCTAACTGACAAGCTGGAAAAACGAGCCACTGTGCTCGCGAGTATAAATCTCGCCCCCTACTGAGGATCGAGGGTGTTCCTGGATCTATCCGTGGCGATCTAGCCGGAGTTTTTGTCCTCAAGTTCACGTAGATAGCGTAACAGTAATGGTAACGTTCGTGTTGCGTGTAATTTTATCACTTAAAGTGTTTCCCCCCGTGTGTATATCGCGGAATTGTCGACGATCGAGGTTTTTTCACAGAAGCCTGCTCAGGTTTGAACAGAGTCATTTCCACCCAGTTTGTGGGGCTGTCAGCCGCGTTATTTATGAGTCGCGATGAACTGTGTTCTGAGGATCAACGAATAACTATGTTTCACTTTTTACTGTTTCCTATTTCTCTCTCACTGTACTTCACTATCATTCTTTGCCTTAATACCAGCTTGGAACAATCAGAGCAATAAGTTTCTCTTCCTCGAAGGTTGCGATAATAGGATTCTGGTCAGGTTTGTAAACTCCAAGAATCTTTATCTTATGATTGTTGAGATTAAGCATTCCATGCATGAATTTTGTATCCATTTGGTGCAGAGTCTATTTTTATTGGAAAATAAATCGCTATTATTGAAAATATAATTGATAAATTATTGAAAATAGATCGTATTTGATACGATGCAACTTGGCAAGTAGATTCTCCTTACAATGGAGTTCCCCACACTCTTCATAAAATCCAAACTGATCGTTCAGCGTAATCTACCAACCACGAGTGTCCGCCTCATTAAGTCGAGGCAACAATAGCGCGATTATATCACTTGCAGTTCGCTATGTTCACACAGGGGGGGGGGCAGCAACGAGTCTGGGTTCCCATAAAAAGGGGTAGTAAGTCCCAACATTAAGAGGGGCCGTAGATACGTCACTTGGTCGAGAGACAGAGCGAGAGATCAGGTTTTTGCATTCATTCATGGGTTCGTGGGGGGGGGGCAGAAAAAAGGGGGGGTGGATGGAGCTGGCTCGAATCGCGATGTGTAAACACGCGGGAGTGAGAGAGAAAAAAGAGAAAAAGAGAAAAGGGACTCTGTCTGTGCCACGACGGCGAGGAACCCCTTTCATTCGACGTCAGCCCCTCCTGATACCGTATAAAATATAGTATTGTTCGCGCTCTGTTAGTCCAAAGTGGAGAACGAGTATATTTAGGGGAGGGTCGGCTTTCTTTCATATGTTAAGCAGATCAGTGTCGACGAGATAGAGTGGGGTAGAGAGGGGGATGAGACAGAGAACTGTACCCGGTGTAGGAACCACCCCTTCGACTTCCATCACCTCCCAAAACCCCCCCAAAGAGAACTCTGCAACGTGCACTCTTAAATGATTGCCGACTTGACTTAATGTTGTGAAAAATAGCCGTGTGCTCTCAGCGTCCTTCCGATATTTTTCTTTATTATGAGGAGCAGAGATGGGGGACCAATTTTTTAGCATCGTATTATCCCAAGCTTTCACCCCCGGGGGCGGTCCATAGTGTTATTTCGACGATTTATATTCTTTTATTTAGTTTTTGCTAACAGTTTGCGGTTAACAGATATTTTTGTTAATTTTGCTTTCAACTTTTGACGAAGGTTGGAAGAAAAATTGACTGTTTTAGGCGAGTGTGTCTGAGAATTGAAGTGAGTGATAGGAAACATGTATGTATTAACACAGACCTAAGCTAGATCTAAGCTAGACCTAAGCTAGACCTAACCCAGACCTAATCCAGATCTAATCCAAACCTAACCCATACCTAACTCGGATCTAATCCAGACCTAACCCAGACCTAAGCTAGACCTAAGCTAGACCTAACCCAGACCTATATCGATTAGTAATAAGAATAAATTATTTTGGTGATACAGGAATCAGAATTTGGTATTTGCTTAGAACGTTCTGTTTAATATATCTTCTAGTACATTTATCACTGCTTTTAAGTCCAATCATATCACATACATGGATGTTTAATCTACGAAATCTCTCAGAAAGTCACCGAAATATAAAATTGCAGAGAATTTCGTCCACGATCCGAGGCGAGTAGTTCTCTACATGTGACACGGTTAAACTTTTATTTAGCAACGCTTGTTCGCGGATGCTCGTAAATTAAAGCTGCCTGGAATTTATGGTCCGGAGAACGGGACGATCAAGTGTCGCGAAATGTATTACTCTTCTAAGGAGAATGGTAGCCTGAAAATACGAGTTCCTTCCACGCGTCGTTGCAAACTGGATCTACGATACTTAAATTCTGCCACTTTTCTCGACATTTTATAGTGTCACTCGCTCGACATAAAGTATGTGCAAATAATAAACTTCTCATCTTATAACGAGCTGCTCGAAAACCAAAAGTTCTCGAGAAACATCATATATACTTCCGAGTGAACGATGCATTTTTAAACTTTCCTGGAGGTTGAAAGGAAAGTTGTATTTACGTGTTGTCAAACTCCAGTTTCGAGTCTTCACAAGTTTGTCGATTCAAAACTGTTTGCAGATGTGTATTTTTCGAATTCAAGGTTATGCAATTTTTTTATTTTCGATCGATCTTGGTAAAGTATATTACTAAATGAATATTCCAGAACCTAAACCAGAAAACCCAGACCTAAGCTAGACCTAAGCTAGATCTAACCAAAACCTAAGCCAGATCTAATCCAGACCTAACCCAGACCCTAGATCTGGGTTAGGTCTGGGTTAGGTCTGGATTAGATCTGAGTTAGGTCTGGGTTAGGTCTGGATTAGATCTGGGTTAGGTCTGGGTTAGGTCTGGGTTAGATCTGAGTTAGGTCTGGGTTAGGTCTGGATTAGATCTGGGTTAGGTCTGGGTTAGGTCTGAATTAGATCTGGGTTAGATCTGGGTTAGGTCTGGGTTAGGTCTGGATTAGATCTGAGTTAGGTCTGGGTTAGGTCTGGGTTAGATCTGAGTTAGATCTGGGTTAGGTCTGGGTTAGGTCTGGATTAGATCTGAATTAGATCTGGGTTAAGTCTGGGTTAGGTCTGGATTAGATCTGAATTAGGTTTGGGTTAGGTCTGGGTTAGGTCTGGATTAGATCTGGGTTAGATCTGGGTTAGGTCTGGGTTAGGTCTGGGTTCTAATCCAGACCAAACCTAAGCCAGATCTAATCCAGACCTAACCCAGATCTAAACCAGACCTAACCCAGACCTAACCCAAACCTAAGCCAGATCTAATCCAGACCTAACCCAGACCTAACCCAGACCTAACTCAGATCTAATCCAGACCCAACCCAGACCTAACCCAGATCTAACCCAGATCTAATCCAGACCTAACCCAGACCTAACTCAGATCTAATCCAGACCTAACCCAGACCTAACCCAGATCTAATCCAGACCTAACCCAAACCTAAGCCAGATCTAACCCAGACCTAACCCAAACCTAAGCCAGACCTAACCCAAACCTAAGCCACATCTAATCCAGACCTAACCCAGACCTAACCCAGACCTAACCCAGAATATCTTAATTTACCTGCTCAAGAGATTAGTTTACGACCTCGCTATATCATGGCCCGTACTATACACTTAAGTGTTCTTGTGTAACCTTTCAATGTTCTGCTCTGTAACTTGTGAACTTTTCAATGTTCTTGTGGAAATTGTATAGTTCGTACCACAAAAATGTAATTTCGAGAAAAACAGCTCGAAAGTTCCACGTCCAGTCGTTTTACACCTGCGCTGTACATTTCAGCAGGCTATAACTTCGTTAGTTTCTCAAATTTCAATTTAATATTTGGTAGATATATTTTCGAGACTACATACTAAAGGAAAACGCAAAAAAAATTGAATTTTTTAAACCCCACAGAGTAGAAAGGTCTCTTAAAGTAGAAATTCGCGACATGTGTGTCTCAAAGTTAGAAAACAGAAATTCTTATATCGCGGTTGCAAGTTTTCCTCCCGAATCTCTATCAATTCCCCATTTATTCGCTACCTCGCAATTTTACGCGTCCCACAATAAAAACATCTCGCCATCGATGGCGGGCGTTACGTGCCGTGTAATTTCAACGAGTTTCCGAAGCAACGACATAAGTTCCTGGTTAACTTTGCCCGGCTTACCGTCACTCGACGTGCTATAAACGACAACCGAACGAAACAAGACCAGGGAAAAGGCACCGGGACGCGTTATTATAAAAGTCGTAATGAAAATCTAACGATCCGTCAAGCAAAGAAAGAACGCCTCGAGAAATGAATGGTTGGCGAGTGTGTCTCTGTTCCTCGTTTTAACCTCTTTGTTTACGTTTGCTTTCAGAACACGTGAGGGAGTTCAGCTGCGGGATGCTGTACTACAGGACGCTCTACTTGGACAGTAAGAGGGACGCCCTGTACGTCGGCGCCATGTAAGCACCCGTTCTTTTTTCTATATCGTCCTTTTTTATTTCACGTAATAAAATGTCGCGCGATGGAAAATCCTCCCTTTCCTCGATAAAAGTTACGCTCCGCTCGTCGTCAAAGCGCCCGTGGATCGCACACACGCGCACAAGGCTCGCGTTCACACACGCGTGTACGTGCCGGGGAACGGATTTTTCCGATTCCCGTGATTAAAATTCTACGAGCGTGTTCCGATTGATTAAATTTCACGATGACATCGAACATCGGATAATCCATGTTTTGAAACAGTCTCTGTATTACAGCGGGCGTCGACACAGAGCCGGGGCTTTCGCGATGATAATTATCGTTGGGCTGATTGCGCTGAATTGCCACCCTCTTCTCCCCGTTTCCCCTCCCCGTTTTCCCCCCCGTTTTTATTCGAAACCTTATATCGTCGTGCGTGAGCCGAATCGACGTGCAATTTCGTCGTTATTTATCCCGCGTTCGAGATTGAAATGAAAAGTAACGTTCCGTTCGACGGCGCAACTGGGTCGCGCGTGAAACGTTTCGAATATATATTCCGCCTTTCGAAGCGAGCTTTCGACGTTCCATCGAGAAGCGAATAAAATGTTCTCTCCCGGTTATTGTTCCCGGCCATTGTTATTTAAATTTAATAATTTGCTTATAGCGAGCCGCTACGCCGGGCCGCGATTGTTTTCTACGATGCGTGAAACTTTTGGGGATTATGGCAACCCTCGTCCTGTCGCTCGTATCAATTTCACATATTTTTCGCGGCAAAAAATTTAGTATTCTGCGTGCAAAACAATGTGTACAGTGGTCTCTTGTTAGTGGTTTCTATTTTTATTTCGATATTGTTCGCGAAATCATCACCACAATATCCTAGAACTATAAATGAAAATGAAACTTTTATGTGAAATTATTTTAATCACATTGCTGAGCTTTTGCTAGTGAAAATGATACCAAACAAGGTCGTATTTACTCTCATACTTATATACTTTTTATGATTGCAATATAAACTAGATGAGAAATAGCAATAAAAGTAAAAGCAAAATAGTACTATAATGGAAATTCAAAAAAATGATTATACAGGATGTTCAGCCTGGGAAAAATTGTAATGGGAGATTCTGGAGGCCAAAATAAGACGAAAATCAAGAATACAAATTTGTTAATTGAGGCTTCGTTAAAAAGTTATTAACGTTCAAAGTTGTGGCTGTCGAACGACAATTTGTCCAACTACTCGATTTTTTTTCTCGAAAATGCGCAGGATTTCGGGGGTATATCTATTCACGAAAAATGATTCTAATAGCCCCTACAATCGAACATAATTTTTCCAGAATGATTTGAAGCTTTTCAATTTTCAGGGAAACAGACAGATGATATGGTCAGACATATTTTCAGTAATGAATTTATTTTTTTTTAAAAATGCGTACGATTTCGGAGGTATATCTAATCACCAAAAATGATTATAATCGATCCCCACAACCGAAAATAATTTTTCCAGAATGATTTGAAGCTTTCAATTTTCAGGGGAACATACACAGTTATAGTCAGCCATTATATTTTCAGTAATGAATTTTTTTATCGAAAATGCGCAGGATTTCGGGGGTATGTCTAATCACCAAAAATGATTGTAATTGACCCTCGCAACCGTCAATAATTTTTTCAGAATGATTTAAAATTTTTTTAAATAAGAAAATAAGACGATAAAGAGTTTCGTTAAAAGGTTATTGAAAAATTTCAAATCATTCTAGAAAAAATATCTTTGGTTGCAGGAGTCAATTAGAATCATTTTTGGTCAATAGACATACCCTCGAAATCCTATCAATTTTCTAGAAAAAAATTCGAGAAGGTGTGAACTTTTTCGACAAAATTGAAAAATTTCAAATCGTTCTAAAAAAAATATCTTTGGTTGCAGGGGTCAATTACAATCATTTTTGGTCAATAGACATACCCACGAAATCCTACGCAGTTTTGAGAAAAAAAATTCCTAATCGAAAATGTCATTTATGGCCGGAAATGTTGCTCGAAAATTTCATGCGAATCTTTAATATGTCATAACTTCTGAACGGATCGAAGGATTTTAATGTTTGAAGCGGCAAACAACGCGTATTTTGACGAAGAATATGTAAAAATTCAAACAATATTGAAAAAGTTGTTCCTTGACCCCGTAAATTGAGAAAAACCCCCTAAAAATGACCCAATTTTCAAACGACCATAACTCCTACAATAGCGACAATATTTCAATGAAACTTTTTTCTGGGGTAGAGCTCATGGATACCTACAAAAAAGTACTAGACAACTTTTCCATAGGGCGTCAAACAAAATTACTAAAAATGAAAAACTGATTTTTAGAAAAATCGACAGTGTGTAGGTGCCTTAATTTTTCGGCGAAATTAAAATATATCAAATCATTTTGAAAAAATTATTTTCAACTGCGAGGGTCAATTACAATCACTTTTGGTGAATAGACATACCCCCAAAATCTTGCGCATTTTGGAGAAAAAAATTCGAGAATGTGCTTAAATTTTACGACGAAAAAGAAATTGTCAAATCGTTCCGAAAAAATTATTTTCGATTGAAGGGGTCAATCACAATCATTTTTGGTGAATAGACATACCCTCGAAATCCTACGCATTTTCGAGAAAAAAATTCGAGTAGGTGGCCAAATTGCAGTTCGACAGCCACAACTTTAAACGCTAATAACTTTTTAACGAAGCCTTCATCAACAAATTGCTGTTCTTGATTTTCGACTTATTTTGGTCTCCAGAATCTCCCATTAAAATTTTTCCCAGGTGTGACAACTTCTATAAATTTCGATTCTATAAATATGCATAACAAATTCTTTCTCGACTATATTAGACTTTCTTTCTCAAATTCAGCCTCATTGCAAGTCATACTATTTGTAACTCTCATCGATTTATTTTTCTATACTCTATTAAATGCATATTCAATTACCAATAAATAAATTTATTTAATACAATAAATTACAATTGTCAAAATGTTTACTTGCTCCAATGAAAATCGCAACTGTCGTAGTAACGATTAACACTTTACGGCCGCTGTCACGTATGTGTGACTTCGCGAGCCAGCAGATGTTGGCCAAAGTCACGTGTGCGTGAATCTACGTGATCGGTTACCATTTCACATAATATTTCTCACATTTCGTGTATCTCACTTTGGTCTACAATATTAACGGTGATGAACAACGGTTTTCGTGCGATACATGTGGCCATTAAAGTGTTAAAAAAGCAATTTCACGTCTCGATTAGTTGTAACCGTGGACATTTTTTCCATTGGCAAAGATTAATCGTAAAAGTTCAGCTGGTTTAATTCGCGTGTACTTGTTTCGCGTACGTTTGCCTCGTCCCCGTCGGCTTCGTGCCCCGAAGGTTTCAGTAAATTACCTTTCTGCAAATTGAAACGTTTAGCAAACGAAACCTGGTCATCCCCTCGTGTACAGAGGAGAACGATCCGGTACATAAACGCGGTATATATTTCAGTATCCGAGCTAAGAGTGCGCGCAAATACCGCGGAGGGGGCCGATTACGAAAAGGAGTACAGACGCACTCGAGCATCGTTCCCGACGAGTCTGCGCGAATACGGCCAGACAGTCGTTCTAAAAAGCAAAGCATAGTGGTTGAAAACCAATATCCAACCCTGTCTTCAATTTATACAAAAACGTTCAAACGAACCGGCACTCGACTCAACGAACGTTCTCCCAAAGATTAGATCAGGTTTCTAAAAAATTCATTAATAATACACGCGGTGTGAAACTTCATCGCTGACATAATTCTGTCGTTTCTTTATTTTTTTTCCATTTATTGCAACAAACGTTATCAATTAACCCCTTAACGTTCATGCCCGAGTCTGACTGCTTTGAAAGACGATATATCTTTGATCTGATCGTTTAAGGGATGAAAATATTTGGTTTCCTTAAAAAAAATCATTAAAATAATTTCTGCAAAATTTATTTACACAGAAAAAATTGAATCACTTATTGTTTAAATGCGATATCGATTAATTCGTGAATAATTCGAAGGAATAATTTCGAGATGGAATGAAATTCATGGGATAGAGGGACGATGGTTTTTCTTCTATAAAACTCACTTTTAACACAATGCTCGAGTATCGTTTCGAAGAAGAAACGGAGGTCGAGAGAGCAAAAAGGGGCTTCCTTAAGGGTGGATAGAGATTGTAACGGGGGAACGTTGCATCATTACTACAGAAGTATTATTTCTTGATTCGGTTCCAACCTTTCCCACCCCCTGCCAGTCCTCGTTACTATCCTGCCGGCCATTCACTAGCGTTTTCTTTTGTGAGGCTCCCTTCTTAATTTGGTAAATGCCAGCAAAATGCTACGCGGCCCCGGCAATGGCGTCTGAAAGCCACTGGATACACAAACCAGAGAGCCTCTCGCGCGAGGAGGCCAACAACAGTCATCTAATATATCTATCGTGACAGTAGAAATTATTTCTCAGATCATATCCTTTGTCAATTTCGAAAGAAACAGCATAAATCGCGGAGTCATGGAGAGAAACTTTGAAATAGTATTTAAAAGTTCCATGAGAAGATGGAAAAATGCCACAATTTAACGTTTCTCAGGGAACAATGATGTTTCAATGACATAAATATGTGTTGTATCATGCTCTGCACTTGTTTGCTCGAAATATCTGCTTGTAACTTTGTTCTGAACTGCCAAAACCGTGTATCCAGTGGTTTTATAATAATCGAAACTGTTTCGTAAGCGCTGTGTTAATCTTTGAAGTAGCAGAAGTTGAAGTCGATAAGCGCGTATTGCTATGCTGGAACGGACCTCATGATAATCGTTTCATCGGGATATTATCATATATTTCTCTTTCGAAATTTGTTTTTTTTCTAACCCAGACATCACCCAGACCTAACCCAGACCCTAGATCTGAGTTAGGTCTGGGTTAGGTCTGGATTAGATCTGAGTTAGGTCTGGGTTAGGTCTGGGTTAGGTCTGAATTAGATCTGGGTTAGGTCTGGG